TCTTCCGTCATGCACTGATGCAAGTTGTTCCACAGGTTTCAGAAGCTATGGCACATGCTGAGTGCTTTTCACAGGCTGAGTGCAGAGGGGCTTTCAGATCATGTTCACTTTAAAAGCAGAAGTAGCACCAGCACAAGTTTAAGACCCACAATGTTCTTTTTTTGTCATGGCTGGCTAGTTCCCACTACCGCAAGCAAGCATGAAACTTGCCTATGAGAGACCACACAGGGTACTGAATGGCTCATCCAGAGCCTGATCCTGGAGGTCTTCAGCACTTACAACTTCCAGTGAAGCCCACAGCACTCTTTTCACTACTGTGCTTGCAAATGCTCAGCATCAGCCTATTTGCCTTATTAATGTAGCCTCTCAGACAGTAGATGGTTAAAGTTACTAGAATTTGGTATTTTGACCAATGCACGTCACTTGTACGATGTTTTTGGAAGGCTGTGGTGATGGACTCCTCCCTGTGAGGAAATAATCACACACTCACCTCAGAAATAGTTTGAGGTGGGATTTCAAAAGTACTGTGCAGTGACTTCACCTGACTCCCACAAAAAATCAACAGTGAAACTCTCAGTGACTTCAACCCAAACACAGTTTGGGCAGAGTTGGTAACTCCTGAGGATCCCACTCTACCATCAAGTTTTGCTTCTCTTGGTTGAAATAACAACAATAGTAACAGGATCAAGTATCATTCATTGTAATTGGATACCTGAAATACAACAATGACACAAGACTGTATGGGGCAGGTATTCATAAATGAGACTTCAAGGAATTTTCTGTGTACATATTCATACATTGATTGCTGGAATTAGCTTTTCTTCACATATGCTGGATAGACTTTCTTTTTTAAACATATAGGAAGACACTTAATTACTGAACCCTGCTGCCTGTGACTGTTTTTTTAAAAAAAGAAACTACCCAGGATCATAATATTATTTGTACACTTGTGCCCCAAGACACTGCTATCCTTCCTGCACACGTACTCTGCAGATCTAAGAACTGTCCCAAAGGGACCTTTTAAAGCACAAGTTTATGCCAACTGAACAAGCAAATACCGGCAACATTTTAGATAGGGTACCAGCATGCAAGAAAGATAGAGACATCACTATTTTGTTATCAAGCAGTTTGTTTGCCATTCTGAAACTGCAAAGCATAAGATGTAAGAAAACAACAATCACTGAAACAGTGAGTAAAACAGAGTAAGCTAAATCAAAAGACTGTTGAAGAGTCAAGCAGACCAGCTCCTAGTGAAAATTTCAACAAGCTCCAAATCAGTACCTAATCTTCAGTTTCATTAAATAAACTTGAATCTGGTTGCAAACGCAGTATCTAAAGCTGAACCAAAATTGCATATTAATAAGGATGGGAAGACGAAATACACATTTGATATCAATGATATGGAAGTGTATTTTATTTATTAGTTTATTTTAAAATTAACTCTGTTTTGTTCCCTAGGAATGACAATTCTCTAAAAAGTATTCAGTGGAGGAAGGACAGAACAACTGAAAACAGATATTGTACCACTTCTACACACGCTAATTTAGGTTCCACAGAATAGCTAACTCTTCTCAAAAGATGGTATTTGTTGAAAGCAAAGAGTAAAGCTTGCAACTATAAAAACTGATTAAAAGAGAAATATCATTTTAAACCCTGCATGAAATACATCCACTTTATTTATTGAATACTGCTGCCAATAACGTTGTTATTCAAACATTTATTCAGCTGACAGCTGTTTTCAGTTGTGTCTTATCTCTCCAGATAAGCTTTTTCCCAGACAACCTATTAAAAAAAAAAAATCAATCCAACCTTTTTAACTAAACAGAAGCTATGTACATTCTCAGGTAATACAACATTCCATACATAGAATCATAGAATAGTTTGGGTTGGAACAGACCTTTAAAGGTCATCTAGTCCAACTCCCCTGCAGTAAGCAAGGACATCTTCAACTAGATCAGGTTGCTCAGAGCCCCGTCCAACCTGACTTTGAATGCTTCCAGCGATGGGGCATCTACCACCTCTCTGGGCAACCTGTGCCAGTGTTTCACCACCTTCATTGTGAAAAATTTCTTCCTTAGATCTAGTCTAAATCTGCCCTCTCAGTTTCAAACCGTTAGCCCTTCTCACATTGCAACAGGCCCAGCTAAAGAGTCTGTCCCCATCTTTCTTATAGGCCCCCTTTAAGTACTGGAAGGCTGCTATAAGGTCTCCCCAAAGCCTTCTCTTCTCCAGGCTGAACAACGCCCACTCTCCCAGCCTGTCCTCACAGGAGAGGTGTTCCATCCCTCTGATCATTTTTGTGGCTTCCTCTGGGCCCTCTCCAACAGGTCCATGCCCTCCCTGTGCTGAGGGCTCCAGAGCTGGACGCAGGGCTCCAGGTGGGGTCTCACCAGAGCGGAGGGCAGGATCTCCTCGCCAAGCTTCTTTGGATGCAGCCCAGGATAGGGTTGGCCTTCTGGGCTGTAAGCGCACATTGCCAGCTCATGTCCAGCTTTTCATCCACCAGTACGTCCAAGACCTTCTCGGCAGGGCTGCTCTCAATCCCTTCATCCCCCAGCCTGTACTGATACCAGGGGTTGCCCCAACCCAGGTGCAGGACCCTGCACTTGGCCTTGTTGAACCTCATGAGGTTCACACAGGCCCATTCCTCAAGCTTGTCCAGGTCCCTCTGGATGGCATCCCGTCCCTCAGGCGTGTCAGCCACATATGAAATGTGTTCAA